CCCGCACAGCGTGTCGAAGTCCAGCATTCGCTGCACCGCCTTCGTCTGCATCCCATACACGAAGGCTTGAGTCTCCGCGGTAAATTGCATAAGGCTATTGCTACCTGGGATTCTCCCAAAACAAGGCGATGTGCTGTGATATAGTCAACTTGAAATAAGGGCATTCCCGTGCCCCCCCCCAAAAAAAAAATTACTAAAGAGGCCCAGACCTCGTCTTTGCCTCTTCGCAGAGTCCACTTGTCGGATCTTGACGTCCGGAACAGGCATGCTGGCATCTTTGGCCTTCTTGAGGCATCTTAAGGCTCTACTAGTAGCGGTTCGGGGGGAGTGGGGGTTTTATGAAGTTCAGAGATTCTGGGGTTTGACGTCAAAAGGGTTCAGGGTTTATAGGCCTGGCCTTCTCCAGAAGTGCATCCCGCACAATTGATGTGAGGTGAGCTTCTGGCCCGTACACGTTCGCAGGGATTCCGATGTCCTGCGCAGTGTCTGCAGCACGCGCACACACTCAATCTGTAATGCGTGCATGTAGTCTGAGTCCTCACATGCTTTTCGCATGTTTGTGAGGCCCTCGGAGTAGTTCGGCCCACCACGGCGCACCCAAACGGTCCTGGGCAATGTAATAGAGTATAATGCAGAAGAACACAGTACCATCCACAGGCCTCACGCAGTGCTTGGGGGAACTTCAGCTTTCAACAGCACCGCCTAACGCCATGAACCTATACGCGCCGACCAAGCTCCCTGTTTCCTTGCATATGACGAGGACCCTATAGGTCATATTATTACTATTATTATGAATATTATTAGTACTATAGCATTATTGATAATACTAGTACTATTCCTTACTATTGTTACTATTCATACTGATCAGAATTATTACTATTGTTAGTATTAATTAGTATTTTGACCTTGAGCCCGAATTCCAAGCCGACCAAGGAGTCCAAGCGTCGTGCCACAAGCTTTCAGGGCAGATCCGAACTCCTTCAAGGCCTTCACCTGGTTTAGGGTTTAGAGGCTTAGGGTTTAGGGGTTTAGGGTTTAGGGGTTTAGGGTTTAGGGGTTAGGGGCTTTAGGGTTTAGGGGTTTAGGGGTTTAGGGGTTAGTGGTTTAGGGTTTAGGGTTTAGAGGTTTAGGGTTTGGCCTTAGAGGAGTTCAAGTGAAGTTACCGTAGAAGGGACCTTTAGAATAAATATGGAATTCCTATGATGGTAACGTACATGTCCCTCCAGTCGAGGGCTTGGCTCGCTGAGCTTACCAGCGCAACGAATCCAAACTCTCGAAATTGCCCGAAAGATTACCATGAGTCTGAAACCCACAGTAACAGCTCATCCAGGTGCAGTAAGCTGTACCCGATGGGGAGAGCCTGGAGGAAGGAAACTACGATCCACACATATCCACCCAGTAAGGGGCTCCAAAATGCTGTATTACTCTTCCCGAGATTTCGAGACTTCCTTCACTTGGATCAGGGAGGGCACGCTGCATGTAAGTAAAGTTCGGGTTTAGGGTTTAAGGGTTTAGGGCTTCGAAGGGTTTCCAGGAAAGTCCTGAATAGACTGTTGACAAGGGGCCAGGCCCTTGAATGTGCTGGCAACATCAGTAAAATTTGCAACTCCGCCCCCGATCAGCAGGATTTTCCTGAGACTCACAGCAGCTGCGTGGCCTTATAGGGCTTTTAGGGTTTATAAGGTTTATATAGGGTTTTTAGGGTTAATATAGGGCTCATAGGGCAATTCGCAGCAGGAAAAGCGTGGAAGTCCATGGGTGCCAAGCATCCCATGCGGCTCCCGTGAGGATGTCATGACCCCCAAGATGACCTTGGCATACCTCACAAGGCCAAGCACCGTTTAGGGTTTAGGGGTTTAGGGTTTAGGGGTTTAGGGGTTTAGGGTTTAGGGATTAGGGGTTTAGGGGCTTAGGGTTTAGGGTTGCTTCCACCCAGGCGAAGGGCAGCCCAGCAGCTCGTAAACAAACTCCTCAGGAGGGTCGCCTGAGTATTCGCCGTAGTTTGCCAGCTCCTTCGCGTAGCCGTACTCACAGATCGTGTCGGTGTACACCTTCACCGAAAAAGCAGGTCGAGAAATCCGACATGACTGCACCACTCAATGCCACTACTTCTGAGTGTCCGCCAAGCCACGACACTAGCGCCGCCTCCTGCGATAAGAGTCCAGACACGGCCCTGACGATTCAGCAGGGTGAACTTCAGGGAAGCTCCTGTTCGAAACGCACACGATTGGCCGAGACGATTGTGTCCTTGTGCTTTGGCCCTCGGCAGTCCTGTTCTTGCGTCCAGATCATGCACGGCCTTTTCCTGCAACAGCTGCAAGATGCAGGAAACTGACAGCAAACCTACATGGCAGCTCGACTTCCCCTTTGCACTTCGGCAACAGCAGACATTATAGTAGTCATGGTTTAGCCTTCGGGGCCTTTCGACGCCTGTCATACCAACCGCCCTTCTTGACCTGACCTCCTAAACAAGGACTTGAAGTTTCAAGAGGGGGCAAAAGGCGCTGGAGTCAGGAGACAACAGCATGCAAACAAAGTACATCTGCAGCCTTGCAGGATGCGACTCACTTACAGAAGTATGGTTTCAGTACGTTCCTGTGTTACAGGAACCGAGTACTCTTCTCAGCGCTTTCCCTGCAAAGGCATTCGTTTGAGGTTTCCCTTGCAGCCTCCGGCAGTTCTGGGCGCCCGAAACCAACCGGGAAGCGGCAGTTGCCCCAGCGCTCGGCACACAGGTAGCCAGCCTCGGGCAACAACTGAAAAGGATCTAGTCTGGCACCTCCAGGCCATGGGGTGAAGGATTCAGCGGATCAATACCTCCTCCCCCTTGACGCAAGAACACCCTGCAGTAGGCCACACTGTTTGGGGAAATCGGAAATAAGGTGCGTGTCTTATGATCATGGTTCATGCATTGCTCCATGCATCTGCTTCATCACCTGTATGCCACCCCCACAGAAACCTTTGTGCAACTCCTTCTCGGATCCAGACGGTCTCGTCCAGCTGCAGAGCCGCCCAGGATATGCAGACCTTATCACCTGGGCCCAGTTTAATTACCTTTGGTTAGTAGGGAATGGAGTTACTACCATGCTCCCATTCCCTACTAACCAAAGGTAAGTTTAGCATGCAAAAGTCAGAGCTTATCGGGGCTCTCAGATTGTTGCAGGCTTCTGGACGAGATGATTGAGTCAGAGGGCCAGCGCGGCACACTCGTATTTCTAGGTCCGTGATGTGCAGCTGGCGGCAGAACCTTGGATGAAAATAATCAGCCTCACAAAGATGTCTTGCTGTAAATTCCGTTGCACTGCCGTGGCCTGAGCACCTCGTGTCATGTGCAGCGACTAAAGGATGCCCTTCATGACTCATGAATGAGCATCCTTGGAGGACTTCGTCCAGCCCGGAAGCATCACCAGTGCCACCACCAGGACGTCTTGCGCGGCAAGCGCTTCTGCCTGGCCCTCCTCGTGGAGCGGAACCACGACGGATTTCTGCAGGTACGTCACTTTCTCGCCCTCGCGGACGCTACTTATCAGCAGGGGCTGCTCGTTGTCTCGGAGAGGGCAGTTGCCATCCTGAACGACCGTCCAGTGTGAGGGCAGGCCCCTGACGCGTCCGACGGCACACTCTTTGCCGGCTTTGTTTGCAAGCCAGGTGCGGATCCCAGCTTCATCCAGATCCTTCCCCACCAGCCCAGCAGCATTCAAGGCATCCAAGCTTTGCAGATGGTCCGGCAGCACAGTACAGCTGCCAGAGCTCGCGAAGGTCCACCTCGGGTTCTGCTTGATTCCTATAATTCCTCCCTCCTCTTCGAGCACCCTTACAGTATCGGGAAATTACTTCAAGCTCTTGCAGATGGCCCTCTCCCACCTAAAGGGCTCCTCTGGCGCGACGGGGGCAGTCTCGGGCACCCAGGCCACCAGTCTGGGCGAGTTCCTTTGGCCCGACGCGTCATCCAGGAAGCTTTGCAGATGGCCCCGAAGGAGACGAAAGGAGTCGTGTAGTGAGGCCTCTTCTTCAAATTTAACACTGAAAGCCTAAACCCAACCCCCCTAAACCGAGGGCTGAGGCACCTGGGGTTTTGGAGCGTGGTTCAAGTCTGTTTCTGCATAGAAGCTTTCTGATTACCCCTTACTCAGCAATATGCAAGGTTCTATCTCCACCCAGAAAATATTAGAGAATTTGCCACTAGCACCTCTCTCACTGCCATGGCTTTGAAGCCGCACGCTAGAGGCACTTATGCCACAATCGGACAGAGGTATCACTGATGTGTATATATGTCTGTGTAGGTGTATATGTATATGTAAGTATATAGTTATACGCATACGCACGTGTGTATTCTGTAAACATATATGAACATTTTTGTATGTATATGTGTATATATATATATATATAATGTACTTATCTACCACTTTGTTCATTCATTTAGAGACAGAGAGCGAGCGCTCATGTGCTACCATTTCTCATGGGCTGTGCTGAAAGCAGTGGAACTACAAACTAGTCACTGCACGGCTATTTCTGCGAGCACACCTCTCTTGGTAAAGATCTGGAGTCTAGAGTGGCTGAGATCATTGACTGGCTCTGAGCTGCAAAGCTGCCAATGACTCGGATGCTCAAAGAAGAACTTCCTGATCCTTTGCAAGTAAAGGGCCTCGTTCCCTGCCGTTCAGTTTTGCCACCTTGTTCTGTTTTCGAGACATTGGGACCCCCGAATATCACCGAATAAACACCAAAGAATAAAAGGACACTCAATCAGGGAACGTTGATTTTCAGAAAATGCAAGGGGGTTCCGAACGAGATGATTCTCCTTGTGTGGCTTCTGACCCCTAGCATAGAGATGCTGGCTTCAAAGCAACATCTGCCTCAGTTGATCACTGATCACATTTTGACACGGAGGCTGCCGAGTTTAGGCTATGAGGGCTTCAGGGTAGCGCTCTGCGACGACCTGCAATAATTTCAGATTCCTGTCTGAACGAACTACATCCTTACTGGGCGCTTTTTCATTCTCAACCAAGCGTGGTCTTCTGCAGGTACTCGCCAGACTCGACCAGTTTTCTGGCTGTTGATGCCGCATCCTGCAGGGGTGCAGGAGGTCGGCACATTGCTTCTCAAATGAAGCCAGGTACTCCTCTGGGAGAGATCCCATAACAACTGCAATGATGCATGACGATGGAAAAATCGTTGATCCGTGTAACCATGGTCATGAGAATAGCGGTGGTCACATGTGCTGTCACGGTAAGGACAATGATCGATGTACTCGATGTATCAGTTTCAGACATGAGAACGAGAAAGGACCACAACGAGGCATAGCAAAACTTTACCGGCAGAAGTGGTCTCAATTGCCGTTCCGAGAGCATCAACACGTGACAAGCTATATCACGGAAGAAGACATATTCGAGCCTGCAGCGATCCACATGGAGATGGTGCTGCTATTGTCGCAGCCATGTCTACGTATCAGCAAATCGCTACCATAGTGTGCGTGTCCACATGGTTCACATACGTCTAGACAGATACATAGATGGACAGACGGACGGACAGACGGACAGACAGACAGATAGGATCAGAGAGGTAGATAGGTAGATAGGTGGATAAGTAGATAGATAGAAAGATAGATAGATAATTCAGATGGGTAGATAGATAGATAGAGAGAGAGAGAGACAAGGAGATAGAGAGGGAGATAGGGGATGATAGGTAGGCGATCCTCAGTCTTCAGCTCCCGTAGTTGGCTCTGAAGCCTCTTCTCCTCCTCAATGAGCCACAAGGGCTTGATGTACCTGGGCTTCCGGGGGCTCCCTGGGTTTCTTTTTTTTTTGAGCGCCTTTTTCCGACGGAGTTCAGCCTTCAGAGCTTCAACTCAGTAGGAGTAGCTTCTGGGATTCTGGGGTTTGGGTTGGGGTTCCTTGGTGCCGGCTTTTGCAGTGTTGAAGGGTTTCAGGCTTGTTGGAATGATGCTCATCTTTGCAGAGACCCTGCGCAGGGTTCAGGAGTTGAGGGGGTGGGAGTTTATTGTTCTGGGCTGTTTGGGGAAGTTACGGGAAGTTGAACGCCGACGCATTATGCACCTGAGGAGTCTGCCTGACATGACATCCACGGGCTTTCATCTTCTCCAAGTAGGTCACCTCAAGAAGTTCAGGACTTGTAGTCTCCCCAGTAGTGGCTGCGGTCGAGGTGGGCACGACGTATCCGAACCACGACATTGCGAAAGAGTCCCTACCGTAGCAATACATACTGTGCAGGTTTGAAAGGAGAAGAGGTCGTTGTGCGCGTGGGGACCATTCCATTACCGCTGAGAGGACTGCCATTTTCATGGTCGGGCGCGCGGTCCTGGGCAGCACCTGCTAAGAGAGCGATGCCCGAGTGCAAGAACGGCAACATCAAACCATCAAAGCATGGGAAGGGCACCTCGAATTTCCACGGCTTGATGTGTGCACGTAGGGCTACACGCTCCTCAACAGAAGGCGGCACAAAATCAGTCATGCTAAACCGTCAAACCTAATCCAAGTGAGCACAGCCTGAATGTGCCACCCATTCCGAGGCGCATGCCATGTAGACGATCGTCACGCTGCCTCCCACTGCTTTGATGGCATCAATGGAGCTCTGATCCGCCCCGGCAACCTGCATCGACCGAACGCAAGAGGTCTGCTCGCTCTTGAGATTGAGGTCTGCTGTCCCAAGAAGACTTCGCATCTTCCACGACCCTGTTACATCCAGTGATTGCACAATCTTTCTACAAAGGTCCTGCCACTCGTCCTGTCAAGATGATACTGTGAAACATAACCGTGAAACATTGAAGCAATAACTCTAAGATGCATCTTCTCCATTCACCGCCACTTATTTACCTGTGACTGCTCACTGCTGGCGGGAAGCTCGATACACCGGTGTCGTGTGTTTTCGAACCTGCTTTCCGGCAGCATTTGACAGCCGCCTCGTTGGTTTCCAACACCTCGACTCTGACCTTTGAATGTTTGGAGCCTTCTTTTTTACGTCGACTTCTGCAACTTGGAGCGAAAAGTCCACCCAAGCCTTCCCTTGCTCCGATTGGTCCGCTTTGTGTGGCCTCTCTTCAGCTCGTCCTGGGAAAAGGAGGCATAAACATGTCAGGCAAAGGTGTTGGTGCTCCCAGACACCGCAGCCAATTTTAACTGACAGGCGCATTTGCCATTGGCCAGGTTCTCGACGGCTCTCAACCGGCCGTTTCCCAAGTCCAATGGGACGTTCAACAACTTGGACGCGTCCGGGCCTTTGCTGTGAACTCCCTCTCGGACCGGTGTAAACTCTTCGCGCAATTCTGCACAGAGCCACAAAGTTAGTCGTCGCTCTGCACGACGATGTTGACACCGTCCTCCCTCTCCCCCTCCCTCTCCCACTCCCCCTCCCCCTCCCCCTCCGCATCCTCCTCCTCCTCCTCCGATTCCTCATCCTCGTTCCGGGCCCACTCGCACGTGCTCAACCAAGCACGTGGCAGAGTCATCCGCCGGGCCTAAAAATCCTCAGGAGCGTCTGAGGCGAATTTCCGCTTTCGCCTGGTGCTGAGCGCCTCGGGCTGCCCTCAATCGAAACAAGGCCCAAGGCATATGCTCGCGTTCAAGCGCATGATGTCCGTGTGACGTCCTTGTGTCTATAGTTGTCTAAGTGTATGAAACATCGCCGTCTCGTTGATATCATCGGGAAACTTCACCTCGAGCCTCAACAAAAATGACCTCGCCATCGCCAGATTGCCCCTCGAGGCGGCATCGAACAAAGGGGTCTGCTCGTTCTTGTCTGGCTCTCACAAGTCCACTCCCATCCCACGACCAGTTCGGGCTGCTGCGAAAGAGACGAGACAGATTCTTTATTTGGGAGGTTCCGAGAACTAGGGGTACCTTATGTGGGGGTCCTTAGAATAAGGATCCGACCATTAAGGGTCCCCTGTTTTCGGAAACCCCCATTTCTGGTCCAGGGAGGAGGGACGCCAATCTAGACTGGCACCCTCCAACGCCTTCTTGGCCTCAGAGAACTCTCCATCTCGGACTTTAGAAAACAATCGATCGCGATTCACGGGCTTCATGTCCAAAGGGAACCCGAGCTTCGATTGGACTTTGCCTTGACCTTCCGAAGCATCTCCCTTCCAGGAATAGACCCCGAAGTATAACAGGACCCCTAATATGATCTTAAGTTTAAGGCTTACTAAGGTATATTTCTTAGTCCAAGACTCACTGTGAAACTTTGAGAAGGCACGTTCAAATCAGTTAGACTCTGAGGGCTTCTAGGCCCCACAACTGTCACGCTCGTATTATCAAGTTGGGCTGCAACGGACGCGCAGGCCTCAATGTCGATTTTGTACGGGAATGGAAAGTCGTTGGTCTCAGCAGCTGGTAGCATTCAAGTTCAGGGTACCAGTTGATCTCGTAGATCCCTCCAGCAGCTAAGCAGGGGCTGAGGCATTGAAGAGACCGACGCCCATTTTGATCTTGTTCACGCACCTGCCACGGAGACAGGCATCGAACGATGCGCGAACACAGCTGCATGCTCGAGCCGTTGTGTAATAAGTTGTGTAATGATGACTCCAAACGCCACCGTGCCTTGATTCGAAGAGGTGCCGCTGCGTGATGGGAAAGCGCGTGTCCTGGAGCAACTTCGGCTCGAGGAGTGAGGCCAAAAGCATTGTCAGGTTTTCAATAAGTATGGGAGTTTCCGAAAATTAGGGGTACCTTATTTTGGGGTCCTTATGATAAGGATCCTACGTCCCCCCTATTTTCGAAAACTCTCGTATGCATCTCTGTATGGATTACCTGCACAAGCAGAGACAGCCAGACACAGGGACGGACCTGCACGAACACTCACTTCTTGATCTGCTGCCATGCGAGGGCTGCCAGCATGTCTGAGACAAAGCAGTCGCAAACTGCGGAGAGTCCAGGCGGCCCTTCTGGATGAAGTAGCGCCTGGGCGGCATCAAGAGGTCGAGGTGTTGGTGAGGTAATACAGGCGGGGTTCGTTCCGCCTTGTCGCGTCAGGTCTCAGGGTTAGGGTTTTCCTTCAACGGACCCGTATTCAACTGATCTGATTGGTAACGTTTACGAAGGTTTAGGGATAAGAGCTTACGACAACAAGAAACCCCTTAAATGCATACAAGTAGCCCCTCTGCAATGAGAGTAACCACAAGAAAGCCATGTCGACAGTATATTATCGCCACGACGCAAGCATCACCTTGCTGTGCCTCCACCGCCACGGCCGTCACCACCACCACCAGCACCACCACCACCACTACAGCTGCGCCTGCTGCCACTACCAATACCACCGAAAAACAGACTACAACAACAACAGCGACACCACCACCACCACCACCACCACCACCACCACCAGCACCAGCATCAGCACCAAGACCACCACCATCAACAACAACAACAACAACAACAACCGCAAGGACAAGAACAATAAGGGCAATAACACTAAGAACAACAGCAACCACAACAACTACGACTACTGTCACCACGACTACTACCACTAATACCGCTACTACCACTACTACTAGTACTACCACTGCTACTACTAATACCACTACCACTACCACTACCGCAACCACAACCACAACCACAGCGACTGCGACTACGACTACTACTACTACTACCACCACCACTACTACTACTACTACTACTACTACTACTACAACTACTACTACTACTACTACTACTACTACTACTACTACCACTACCACTGCCACTACCACTACCACTACCTCTACCACTACCACTACCACTACCACTACCACTACGACTACTACTACTACTACTGCTGCTGTCGCATTTGCTACTACTTCTCTTCCTACTGCGGCTTCTACGACGACTCTGAGAAAGGATACTTGAACACGGACTCGTTCGAACACTTAAGAACGAAGCTTACATGGACCTTGATGTTTTGGATCACCAATCCCAATCGTGCTCCCGAAGAAGATGTTACAGCAAATGCATAAGTAGGCGTCGTCGTTGTCGTCGTAGTCGTAGGAGTTGTTGCTGCTGCTGATGCTGTAGTCGTCGTCGTAGTGGTGGTGGTGGTTCTGATAGCCAGCAGCAGCAGCTTAGCAGTCGGAGTGCTAGGAGTAGCTGCTGTCGCTGTAATCAGCACGGAGGCATCACCTCCTGGCCCCACTGTTTATGGTTCAAGGTACCATGAACCATGAGAAAATCAGGACGTAAAAAGTTGAGGCATAACAGGCTAGGCCCTAGGCAGCAGAAGGCTGCAAAGGCAGGTGCAAGGTCCCAAGGCCCTGGCAGCTTGGAGAGGTTCAGTTGATCGAGGAGCTTGCGCTTGTTACGCATGTGCGCCTGGTGGCATGGTGAGATGCGGGACGTTCGCACGCAAATGAATGGGGTAAAAGGGTACACCCTGAACAGTACAGGAGATCCACTACGAGCAGCCGTACATGCGGAAGAAACAGAGGAAGGACACCCAAACCCAAATCGAGACCAGCGTAGGTAGATCAGTGGCATTTGCAACGGGATTCGTCGTCTCCGGCCTCTGGCCACCGAGGTAGCCGCTTAAAGAGCGGCATGTTCCCCCGCTCCCAGGATCGAGCCTGACGGGCTCTGGGGCAAGACAGACGACGAGGCACCCTTGTAAGGTAGAGAGATGCATCATGCGAAAGGACCCCTCGCAAGCTCTGCCGCAGCTACGCATCAGGCATTCCGGCCATAGGATAGATACTACAGTATATACGATAAATACTACGATAGAAGACTTTACGCCCCATCTCGCAGTTTTTGAGCTCGGCCTGCTTTCCTTTCTGGCGTTTCGAGCGCCAGTGGAGGCCCCTGCTGCAGGACCTCAGCAGCTTTTGGCGGCCTTAGACCTTGCCCATGTTTCGAGCGACTTCAATAGTATTAGCTTATGGAATTATGGTGTGAAACTACCGTACTATTAATATTATAGATTATATTATATATATATATATATGTTATAGCATACTATCCTACAGAAATACAATTTTCAAGAGTGCTTTCTTCCCTCTTGGCCAGATTCTTCCTCGCCTCTCAGCCTGCCACAGGACTCTGCAAAGAGGGAAGAAGGCTGGGCCCGACACATACCTTTCCCCCGTCGTACGACCTTCTTCTTCTTCGCCACGTCACGCAGGTTCTTCGACTGAAGAATGCCAAGGGGTTTGGGGTTTAGGGACAATGCTGCTTCATGATCGCTCAAAGCATGAGGGGGCTTGTACCAGGATGCGTGTTGTGCCGACATCCCGTGAAGCCGAAGCCCTCATGAACAACTCAGGCGTGTACCCAGATTGGGAAGAACGGCGTGGTAGTGTAAGCAAACCTCTGCTGGGCAGCTCGTGCTTGTGACAGGGAGATAGCATGACCTTGACATGGTATGATGAGGACTCCGAACTTCACCGTTGGTGTCTGAGGCGCGAACCGCAAACTCATGGGATCGGGCCTGTCAGGGATGGCACGAAAGGTGGCTTGCTTGTGCAAGCTTAGGCTTTGCATGGGGAGACACCCATCCGATTCGGATGGTGGAAAGCCGCTCCCGACCTCGGTCTCGCTGGAACTGGAAGAGCACCTGGAGCACAACGTGGAGAGCGCCCGAAACGCAAGTCGAAAGTGGAAGCGATCTGCAGGGTTGCAGCAGCAAACGAAACAAGCATCTGCCTTCGTGCGCGCCACTTCCGCTGTTGCCTTGAACGGCCTGCGGAAGGCTGCACACAACACGAAACCTGCAAAGGTTCCCGAATGCCATGACCAAATCTCGAGCCTCCGTCTTTGCCACTTCAGAAAACCACCTCACCTCAAGCAAGATAGGGCGTGTGCGACATGTTCCAGAAACTGACAGGGGGCGTCCGGCTTACACCTTGTCGAGGCGATGAATGACGGGCAAGGAGGACTGGAGGAGGTGTCCACTACTACCACTACTACAGTAGTACTTAGTAGTGCTCTTCACAGTTCGACGCAGAAGAGGACCTCCTTGCCCACGGCACACGGAGGCCAGGAAGGCCGGGGCACTGCCTTCCCGCCATTTTTGTCGGCTTATGAGTTCAGCCAACAGGGGAAGTTCGCTTTGGCTTGGCGAGCTTGTTGGCTTTTCAACATCTTGTTGGGTCTTGATTTTTGAGTTTGGGGTCCAGGGGTTCGCAAAGCTTGCAGGACTTTTCGGTTTGTCGGCGGCTTGCGGCGAATTTGCTACCAACTGTTTGCAATGTAAATGGCTATCTTGGGTGTCGGAGTTGTCCCTGCCATGCATCCGCCGTCACGTTCTAAGCTTGGTAAAGCCTGGATGATCAAACAGGAAATCTTACTCGGCGTCTCGACCCCGTGCCCACGATGGCATGCCTGCTTGCACAGCAGCGGGCGTGAGATGCCTGCACGATCAGGGCTGCTGGCGTGTCAAAGTGCTCTTGGTTGCACCGGTCGACGGCTTTTGATACAGCGCACTCTTGGAATCTTGCACACATTCCGAGCAGTGCTGGCTCTGTCAAACAGATGAACTCTGGCTTGTCGCGCCCATACTCACTGTCAAAGTGACCTGCCTCGAGCAGTGCGGAAGGCCGCATTGACACCAGAGATCCAGGCGCGCATGGCTTGCAAACAGGCACGTGGGAATTGTACTTACATCTGATTTAGGCCCCTGGTTTTCCACACACAAGCAACCAAAGTCAGAGCGTCACCTGCTGGGCAGTTCCTCAAATCACAAACTGACAAGGCGCCGCTGTGCTCAACGCATCCGGGCTCGTATTACATATCTAAAATCGAGTGCTCAGTGCGAGCCGATGGTCAGGCCAAGGCGTAGTTTTTCATCGCTGCTTGGTCCCAAGTTGGCGGTGTACCGACTTAAGCATTCTGTCCGACTGTCTACTTCAACCTAATCTCAAACCTGAGCTCGCAAGGCTCCTGATGCTGATGCTGGAAGCTCGGATACAGTGACACCTTCCTCGCAGTGGTTTAGCATGCCCATATCTACGAGCAGCTTGCATTCCTGTTGCTCCAAGAATCGGCGTCTGCCAACAGCTGGCTCCTGTGGCGAGATATGGCATGGGGTAGGGGCTATCGAGCTCCATGAAATGTCACTTCCCTAACCCGCATGACACCTCGCAACCCCAAAATCTAAAACCTCTCGGGCATTTGCTCAGGCTTGCATCTCAAGACAAGCGGCTTCAGGTTGGAGGAGCCCCTTGCATTTATGTTCACGGCACAGACACCCTCATGCCAAACCAAAGTCTTGATAGAATTACTGCCATCTTGCTATCGCTCGTCGAATTGTTGCCACTTATTAACCTGTGAACCGTCCGTGCTGTTACAATTATCTGTGTAGTCGATGCCTATTGTTGCAAAACATGGGAGTACAGTACTTGTCGTACAGTACCAGTGCCTGTCTGGTTTCCAGCTTTGGAACATCTTGTATCTTTGATTTGCGCTGATTGGTTTGTTCATCTGCAAACGTTGAACAGCTGTAGCAGTCGTCGTAGCAGAAGCAAGATGGGCAGCAGCCAAGGCAACAAGGGTGGCAGCAGCAGCTGCAATAACAGCAACATCATGAGGAGAAGCAGAGGCATCAGTGGAAGTAAGATCGATACTTCCCGAATGCCGCTGCTCTGAGCGGCCATCGCGGCAGGTACCGTCAGAAGCTGCCAGCATGGCACTCTTCAACATCCACCAAAAACATGAGAATCGGATCATGCCGGTTCCGGGGTTGGTTTCGACCCACGGCTGCTATTATACGCCTGTGCATTTCCTATGTGAAGACAAGCCTTGTGCCGTTCAGTGGAAACGTGTCAAAACTGTAGATGTCTGTCGACTGTAGAGACGTCGAGGTTCGCGACAACTGTCATCGCATGGGACGGCACCGCGGCATGTTTTGCGTCGCTGTTCAGTCGTGGTTGGTTGGGAAGTGGTGAAGCACGCCCGAACCTTGTGGCGGAGCGTGCACCTGCGCACCCCGTCCTGTTGCTAGCATCGGTAGCGAACAGGGGGCACCGCAGGGTTTGTTTGGTGTCATAGCTCTGTATGGTAGCCGCAAATTAGAGTCGCCTCACTCGCAAAACGAGGGCGCTGTACATCTTCGTGGGCGAATGACACTGTGCGATCGGACGCTTTAAAGCTTCGACTTCGCATTAACTGCCTGGGGGTAGCCCAAGCCCCAAATGCACGTCGCAAGCCAGAAGGCCAGAAGGCTCACTTGCCGAACATGTGGAGGGACTTGCCCACAATCACGCAGAAAGTCAAGCTGGCGCAAACTGGAGCCAGAATGCTGGCATGAGCTGACCCGCTGCCCATGCACGGGTACTCGCGGCCAATCGTGTATCCTCACGCAAGCATAGCAGCATGCAGACAAGTGACCCTGCAACTGCTAAAATGCAACTTACAAGCAGCTGGAAAACGATGGAACCGCCCGCTCCTCGACCTGACTCCGAATTCTGCACTGGCACCTGCGACGCAAAGGGTATCGGCGTGCCACAGCTGCGAGCGCGGATGCGAGCCACCACGGCGCTGACAGAGTTCTGCATGGCGAGTTCAGTCACCTGCTGTCCTGCAACGTCGGATAGAACATCAGAGGCCTAGCAGGCTTAGCACATTGTATGCGAATGTCACACTGTCACACCTTGAGGCACCACTCTCCCCGTCCTGGCTGCTGCATGCTGACCGAGGTCGGACAGTACGGACAAGAAGCTTCGAGGCGTACTATGAAGACTATGCAGCAGCTGCGTCCATTCACTGACGTTGAGCCAGGATGCCAGAAGGACAAGTTCACTGCGCCTGTACCAGACAGGCATTGCCACGCAACACTACTGGTACCACGATAGCCGTCGCATGGAATGGCAGCGAGGCATATTTTGCATTGCATGCTCAGTCGTGGTTGGTTGGGAGGTGGTGAAGCACGCCCGAACCTTGTGGTGGAGCGTGCAGCTGCGCACCCCGTCCTGTTGCTAGCATCGGTAGCGAACAGGGGGCACCGCAGGGCTGTGTGGTGTCATAGCTCTGTATGGTAGCCGCAAATTAGACTCGCCTCACTCGCAAAACGAGGGCGCTGTACATCTTCGTGGGTGAATGACATTGTGCGAACGGACGCTTCAAAGCTTCGACTTCGCATTAACTGCCTGGGGTTACCCCAAGCCCCAAATGCACGTCGCAAGCCAGAAGGCCAGAAGGCTCACTTGCCGAACATGTGGAGGGACTTGCCCACAATCACGCAGAAAGTCAAGCTGGCGCAAACTGGAGCCAGAATGCTGGCATGAGCTGACCCGCTTCCCATGCACGGGCACTCCCGGCCAATCGTGTATCCTCACGCAAGCATAGCGGCATAGCAGCATGCAGACAAGTGACCCCGCAACTGCTCACGTGCGACATGCAACTTACAAGCAGCTGGAAAAAACAGGAACCGCCCGCTCCTCGACCTGACTCCGAATTCTGGACGGGCACCTGCGACGCAAAGGGCATCGGCGTGCCACAGCTGCGAGCGCGGATGCGAGCCACCACGGCGCTGACAGAGTTCTGCATGGCGAGTTCAGTCACCTGCTGTCCTGCAACGTCGGATAGAACATCAGAGGCCTAGCAGGCTTAGCACATTGTATGCCATGCACAGGTCACACCTTGAGGCACCACTCTCCCTGCCCGTCCTGGCTGCTGCATGCTGACCGAGGTCGGACAGTACGGACAAGAAGCTTCGAGGCGTACTATGAAGACTATGCAGCAGCTGCGTCCATTCACTGCGCGTTGAGCCAGGATACCAGAAGGAATCAGAAGGACAAGTTCACTGCGCCTGTTCAAGGCAGGCATTGCCACTCACGACTACCAGGATAGCCATCGCATGGAATGGCAGCGAGGCATGTTTCGCATTGCATGTTCAGTCGTGGTTGGTTGGGAGGTGGTGAAGCACGCCCGGACCTTGTGGCGGAGCGTGCACCTGCGCACCCCGTCCTGTTGCTAGCATCGGTAGCGAACAGGGGGCACCGCAGGGCTGTGTGGTGTCATAACTCTGTATGGTAGCCGCAAATTAGACTCGCCTCACTCGCAAAACGAGGGCGCTGTACATCTTCGTGGGTGAATGACATTGTGCGAACGGACGCTTCAAAGCTTCGACTTCGCATTAACTGCCTGGGGTTACCCCAAGCCCCAAATGCACGTCGCAAGCCAAAGGCCAGAAGGCTCACTTGCCGAACATGTGGAGGGACTTGCCCACAATCACGCAGAAAGTCAAGCTGGCGCAAACTGGAGCCAGAATGCTGGCATGAGCTGACCCGCTGCCCATGCACGGGTACTCGCGGCCAATCGTGTATCCTCACGCAAGCATAGCAGCATGCAGACAAGTGACCCTGCAACTGCTAACATGCAACTTACAAGCAGCTGGAAAACGATGGAACCGCCCACTCCTCGACCTGACTCCGAATTCTGTACGGGCACCTGCGACGCAAAGGGCATCGGCGTGCCACAGCTGCGAGCGCGGATGCGAGCCACCACGGCGCTGACAGAGTTCTGCATGGCGAGTTCAGTCACCTGCTGTCCTGCAACGTCGGATAGAACATCAGAGGCCTAGCAGGCTTAGCACATTGTATGCGAATGTCACACTGTCACACCTTGAGGCACCACTCTCCCCGTCCTGGCTGCTGCATGCTGACCGAGGTCGGACAGTACGGACAAGAAGCTTCGAGGCGTACTATGAAGACTATGCAGCAGCTGCGTCCATTCACTGACGTTGAGCCAGGATGCCAGAAGGACAAGTTCACTGCGCCTGTACCAGACAGGCATTGCCACGCAACACTACTGGTACCACGATAGCCGTCGCATGGAATGGCAGCGAGGCATATTTTGCATTGCATGCTCAGTCGTGGTTGGTTGGGAGGTGGTGAAGCACGCCCGAACCTTGTGGTGGAGCGTGCAGCTGCGCACCCCGTCCTGTTGCTAGCATCGGTAGCGAACAGGGGGCACCGCAGGGCTGTGTGGTGTCATAGCTCTGTATGGTAGCCGCAAATTAGACTCGCCTCACTCGCAAAACGAGGGCGCTGTACATCTTCGTGGGTGAATGACATTGTGCGAACGGACGCTTCAAAGCTTCGACTTCGCATACCCCAGGCCCAAATGCACGTCGCAAGCCAAAGGCCAGAAGGCTCACTTGCCGAACATGTGGAGGGACTTGCCCACAATCACGCAGAAAGTCAAGCTGGCGCAAACTGGAGCCAGAATGCTGGCATGAGCTGACCCGCTGCCCATGCACGGGTACTCGCGGCCAATCGTGTATCCTCACGCAAGCATAGCGGCATAGCAGCATGCAGACAAGTGACCCTGCAACTGCTAAAATGCAACTTACAAGCAGCTAAAAAAAAACAGGAACCGCCCGCTCCTCGACCTGACTCCGAATTCTGGACGGGCACCTGCGACGCAAAGGGCATCGGCGTGCCACAGCTGCGAGCGCGGATGCGAGCCACCACGGCGCTGACAGAGTTCTGCATGGCGAGTTCAGTCACCTGCTGTCCTGCAACGTCGGATAGAACATCAGAGGCCTAGCAGGCTTAGCACATTGTATGCCATGCACAGGTCACACCTTGAGGCACCACTCTCCCTGCCCGTCCTGGCTGCTGCATGCTGACCGAGGTCGGACAGTACGGACAAGAAGCTTCGAGGCGTACTATGAAGACTATGCAGCAGCTGCGTCCATTCACTGCGCATTGAACCAGGATACCAGAAGGAATCAGAAGGACAAGTTCACTGCGCCTGTTCAAGGCAGGCATTGCCACTCACGACTACCAGGATAGCCATCGCATGGAATGGCAGCGAGGCATGTTTTGCATTGCATGTTCAGTCGTGGTTGGTTGGGAGGTGGTGAAGCACGCCCGGACCTTGTGGCGGAGCGTGCACCTGCGCACCCCGTCCTGTTGCTAGCATCGGTAGCGAACAGGGGGCACCGCAGGGCTGTGTGGTGTCATAACTCTGTATGGTAGCCGCAAATTAGACTCGCCTCACTCGCAAAACGAGGGCGCTGTACATCTTCGTGGGTGAATGACATTGTGCGAACGGACGCCTCAAAGCTTCGACTTCGCATGGCTGCCTGGGGGTAGCCCCAGGCCCCAAATGCACGTCGCAAGCCAGAAGGCCAGAAGGCTCACTTGCCGAACATGTGGAGGGACTTGCCCACAATCACGCAGAAAGTCAGGCTGGCGCAAACTGGAGCCAGAATGCTGGCATGAGCTGACCCGCTGCCCATGCACGGGTACTCGCGGCCAATCGTGTATCCTCACGCAAGCATAGCAGCATACAGACAAGTGACCCTGCAACTGCTAAAATGCAACTTACAAGCAGCTGGAAAACGCTGGAACCGCCCGCTCCTCGACCTGACTCCGAATTCTGGACGGGCACCTGCGACGCAAAGGGCATCGGCGTGCCACAGCTGCGAGCGCGGATGCGAGCCACCACGGCGCTGACGGAGTTCTGCATGGCGAGTTCAGTCACCTGCTGTCCTGCAACGTCGGATAGAACATCAGAGGCCTAGCAGGCTTAGCACATTGTATGCCATGCACAGGTCACACCTTGAGGCACCACTCTCCCCGTCCTGGCTGCTGCATGCTGACCGAGGTCGGACAGTACGGACAAGAAGCTTCGAGGCGTACTATGAAGACTATGCAGCAGCTGCGTCCATTCACTGCGCATTGAGCCAGGATACCAGAAGGAATCAGAAGGACAAGTTCACTGCGCCTGTTCAAGGCAGGCATTGCCACTCACGACTACCAGGATAGCCATCGCATGGAATGGCAGCGAGGCATGTTTTGCATTGCATGTTCAGTCGTGGTTGGTTGGGAGGTGGTGAAGCACGCCCGGACCTTGTGGCGGAGCGTGCACCTGCGCACCCCGTCCTGTTGCTAGCATCGGTAGCGAACAGGGGGCACCGCAGGGCTGTGTGGTGTCATAACTCTGTATGGTAGCCGCAAATTAGACTCGCCTCACTCGCAAAACGAGGGCGCTGTACATCTTCGTGGGTGAATGACATTGTGCGAACGGACGCCTCAAAGCTTCGACTTCGCATGGCTGCCTGGGGGTAGCCCCAGGCCCCAAATGCACGTCGCAAGCCAGAAGGCCAGAAGGCTCACTTGCCGAACATGTGGAGGGACTTGCCCACAATCACGCAGAAAGTCAGGCTGGCGCAAACTGGAGCCAGAATGCTGGCATGAGCTGACCCGCTGCCCATGCACGGGTACTCGCGGCCAATCGTGTATCCTCACGCAAGCATAGCAGCATACAGACAAGTGACCCTGCAACTGCTAAAATGCAACTTACAAGCAGCTGGAAAACGCTGGAACCGCCCGCTCCTCGACCTGACTCCGAATTCTGGACGGGCACCTGCGACGCAAAGGGCATCGGCGTGCCACAGCTGCGAGCGCGGATGCGAGCCACCACGGCGCTGACGGAGTTCTGCATGGCGAGTTCAGTCACCTGCTGTCCTGCAACGTCGGATAGAACATCAGAGGCCTAGCAGGCTTAGCACATTGTATGCACATGTCACAGTGTCACACGTTGAGGCACCACTCTCCCCGTCCTGGCTGCTGCATGCTGACCGAGGTCGGACAGTACGGACAAGAAGGTTCGAGGCGTACTATGAAGACTATGCAGCAGCTGCGTCCATTCACTGCGCGTTGAGCCAGGGTGCCAGAAGGAATCAGAAGGACAAGTTCACTGCGCCTGTTCAAGGCAGACATTGCCACTCACGACTACCAGGGTAGCCATCGCATGGTATGGCAACGAGGCGCGTTTTTGCATTGCACGTTCAGTCGTGGTTGGTTGGGAAGTGGTGAAGCACGCCCGAACCTTGTGGCGGAGCGTGCACCTGCGCACCCCGTCCTGTTGCTAGCATCGGTAGCGAACAGGGGGCACCGCAGGGTTTGTTTGGTGTCATAGCTCTGTATGGTAGCCGCAAATTAGAGTCGCCTCACTCGCAAAACGAGGGCGCTGTACATCTTCGTGGGTGAATGACATTGTGCGAACGGACGCCTCAAAGCTTCGACTTCGCATGGCTGCCTGGGGGTAGCCCCAGGCCCCAAATGCACGTCGCAAGCCAGAAGGCCAGAAGGCTCACTTGCCGAACATGTGGAGGGACTTGCCCACAATCACGCAGAAAGTCAAGCTGGCGCAAACTGGAGCCAGAATGCTGGCATGAGCTGACCCGCTTCCCATGCACGGGTACTCGCGGCCAATCGTGTATCCTCACGCAAGCATAGCGGCATAGCAGCATGCAGACAAGTGACCCCGCAACTGCTAACGTGCGACATGCAACTTACAAGCAGCTGGAAAAAGCAGGAACCGCCCGCTCCTCGACCTGACTCCGAGTTCTGGACGGGCACCTGCGACGCAAAGGGCATCGGCGTGCCACAGCTGCGAGCGCGGATGCGAGCCACCACGGCGCTGACAGAGTTCTGCATGGCGAGTTCAGTCACCTGCTGTCCTGCAACGTCGGATAAAACATCAGAGGCCTAGCAGGCTTAGCACACTGTATGCACATGTCACAGTGTAAAACCTTGAGGCACCACTCTCCCTGCCCGTCCTGGCTGCTGCATGCTGACCGAGGTCGGACAGTACAGACAAGAAGCTTCGAGGCGTACTATGAAGACTATGCAGCAGCTGCGTCCATTCACTGCACGTTGAGCCCACGAGACGGCAGACAGAGACGCACCTCCTATGCTACACTTCAAGGGGCGTCTGAAGGGAGCGCTGTTGAAAGAGGGGCCGGAGACCCTGCACTGCTTCGTGCTGCCTGGTGTCGTACCGGGTCGCATCAACCCAGAAGCTGCAAAAGCTTTAATTTCTGCGAAACATGAATACCAAGTGCCAACAAATACACACTTATGAAGGGGTCGGTCTTCTTTTCCCTGAGCTTCCGCCAAGGCGAAAATCACCCGCGCAAGATAGTGCATGGTATCCTGCGCGCAGAGCTTAGAACGTGATAACAGGCAGACTCAAACGTCAAAGCTGCAGCTCATTTGCGAGTAGCTGCTCACACATCTCGTACAGAACGTGGCAGGCATGCACTGCGCCACCCAGATCCCCGATCAAGAGAACAGGGGCCCACATCCATGCTCCTCGTGGCTGAGCCAGCGCCGTGCGAGGCGCGCCGACCGCCGCGCGACGGATCGTGCCAGGCTGGGGCGCAGGTTGGCCCGCAGCACCTGGCAGACTGCGAAATTTAGGAACCGCAGCTTTGCTGCTCTCGCTGCGGCGCCTGTCGGGTCAGGTACGTATGAGCGAGTGTGTGTGTGTGTGTGTGTGTGTGTGTGTGTGTGTGTGTGTGTGTGTGTGTGTGTGTGTGTGTGTGTGTGTGTGTGTGTGTGTGTGTGTGGGTGTGTGTGTGTGGGTGTGTGTGTGTGGGTGTGTGTGTGTGTGTGTGTGTGTGTGTGTGTGTGTGTGTGTGTGTGTGTGTGTGTGTGTGTGTGTGTGTGGGTGTGTGTGTGTGTGTGTGTGTGGGGTGTGTGTGTGTGTGTGGGGTGTGTGTGTGTGTGTGTGTGGGGTGTGTGTGTGTGGGGTGTGTGTGTGTGTGTGTGTGTGTGTGTGTGTGTGTGTGTGTGTGTGTGTGTGTGTGTGTGTGTGTGTGTGTGTGTGTGTATATGTATATATATATATATACATACATAGGTATGTATTTAAATATATATATACATATATATATATATGTGTGTGTGTGTGTATACATGTATGTCATATATGTAGACGCATACACATGTATATATTCAAAAGCGCACACACACACACAAACACACACACACACGCGCACACACATCCACGAAAACATGCAGGTATCACATGAGGCTCACACTGTGCGTGCGTATGTATTTATGGATGGATGGACGGATGGAGGGGAGGGAGAGCGAGAAAGAGAGCGAGAGAGAGAGAGAGAGAGAGAGAGAGAGAGAGGCGGGTAGATACTTATGCTGCATGCCTACCTGAATACTAGTACTAGTAGAAGCACTAGTCGTTGTCGTAGCCGTCGTAGTCGTAGTAGTGGTGATCGTAGTCCTAGTAGTCGTGGTAGAACTTTGTCGTCGTAGTAATATTAGTATTCCTATGATTAGTATAAGTATCAGTACTGGTATTGGTATACCCTCAGGCCCCAAAGTAGTTCCTTTTTGGGGTTCATATTTAGAAACCTATAAGGTAATCCCAAAAAGGAACTTCTTTGGGGCCTATGGGTAGGCACTAGTACCTAGAACTTAGAATTCAATATTTGGCCATAGCAGTGGCCTTCGTGTTACTATTACTATTAATTACTATTACCATGACTATTACTATTACTATCACTATCACTATTACGACTACTACTACTACTACTACTACTACTACTCCTACTACTCCTGCTGCTGCTGCGGCGGCGGCTACTACTACTACTACTACTACTACTACTACTACTACTACTACTACGACTACTACTATAACTATTACTATTACCATTACCATTACTATTACTTGTACTATTGTAGTAGTAGTAGTAGTAGTAGTAGTAGTAGTAGTAGTAGTAGTAGTAGTAGTAGTAGTAGTAGTAGTACCCGCCACCGTGTTTACCGTACCCCTAAATATTGAAAAACGCAGCTGCCGCTGTGGTGGCGTGCTTATTTCAGTATATTTTGGAAGTACGCAAATGACAAGGCTGTTTTGCGTTTTGTGTGGGAGGCGTTGCTCGAAGAGGTTTACGCGCGTGTGTTGTGACAACGTGTCTTGCTCCACATCCTTGTGCAGCATGTTGTACCAAGAGCCCAAAATGCTGTAAATACCAGAGTTTTGGCCATGATCACCAAAGGCAGTGACATGAACATCAACCTGACCATCTTCATCATCATCTTCATAACCATCATCCTCGCCATGCTCAACATCATCGTTTACCTGATCATCTTCATCATCATCCTCATAGTCATCATCCCTATCATCATCCTCATAATCGTCGTCATCATCAACATAAGGCCGGTGATGCAGTTAACGATGATGTTGAAGATGGCGAAGATGATGGTTATGCTGAAGATGGTCAGGTTAATGTTCATGTGATTGCCTTTGGCGGTCATGCCCAAAACACTGGTATTTACAGCATGTTTGGCTTTTTGTACATGCTGCACAAGAATGTGGAGCAAGACACGTTGTTACAAGCATCCTACCACTGCTACTGCTACCGGCGCTACTGTGTTACTGCTTACGGTCAACCATGTCGTTATTAGCCCCCCTCCCCCCCCGTTACTGCTTACGGTCAACCATGTCGTTATTATCCCCCCCCCCCCAGTCCCCAGTAGCCGATTTCACGGGTACGGTAAACACGCCGCTGGCTAGTAGTAGTAGTAGTAGTAGTAGTAGTAGTAGTAGTAGTAGTAGTAGCAGTAGTAGCAGTGGTAGCAGTGGCAGTAGCAGTAGCTGTAGCAGTAGCTGTTGTAGTAGTATAGATTCTTTATCAGACAACAGACACTACCAACAACGTAAATGATACGCAGAGTCATCGCCTGGTGAGGCAAGTCCGCCAGGTCTCGACGCACACGGAAGATGTGGATGTGATCCCGGAGCCTGGGGGTCCAGGATTTTGTTTGGAGGTGTGTCCGAAAGTATGGGTTAGGGTTTAGGATTTTGGAGGGTGTGAGAAAGTCTGGGTCTAGGGGTGCTTCCAATGAGGATTGAACTGTTTCGAATTCTACATTACGGTTTGCGGGTTCGCCTATGTAGGGGTACGTTTACTGTTGAGGGATGTATTGGGGTGTAAAACTACGCCAAGCTATCTCTACGAGTTGGTAAGGCCGCTGGGGTTTGGGGGTATATTACGTATACTAGACTTATAAGGCTCCTACATATTCTACAGACGAAGTCGCTGCAGCAGATCTGTGGACCCAGCCGATCGGAATACCAATTGCAATTCTTCGTGTCCTGGCTCCACGTTGCTCCAAGCAGAATTCCGTGGAGTGTTCCACACTCCCTGGCGATAATATACTCATGGTGGCGACTCAGGCAGCAGATGCTATCCGGTCTCAGTGGCGGTTCTATCTATCAGCATCAGTATCGGTATTGGTATAAGTGTTTAGTAGCTAGTATTTACTAGTTGCACTGCTGCTCGAAGGGTCCTGCTTCAACACCACCGAATTCGAGAGCAGGCCCTCGGCGAAAGCAGGACGAAATGATAATGTGAATTTTACTGCTGGATCTTGCCTGCAATATGGCCGTACCAATAATGCAAGCTCCCCACATGATGCAACGCACGCTTCAACTGCATCATGTCGTCAGATCGGAAAACTGCAGACTTGCCCACGGTCGAGACGCACGATCATTCACAGCTGAGGGCCACTCCCAGTATAAGCGCGTGGACCTTTCCATCCGACCGTGCCAGGTTGACATCAACCAGCTTGAACAAGGTCAGTATGCTGCATCAAAACAAGGGAGTGTCGGGAACAGTCACAGCTGCTCAGCGTCACCGATACCTTCGCAAAAGGTCTCATTTGCATTGGAGCCCTAGAGTCTTGCGCAAGGCAGCCTTGCGTTCAAGAGAGAATGCGATCTCGCAGCTCCTTTGACAGCGAGGCCGCAGCTGGCTGCTTCCATCCAAATCCAGCAGCAAACGGCGCCGGAGCTGCTCCTGTGAGAGCTGGGCTTGGGCCTTTCGTGTCCCCAGTTGTACTGTGGATGTATGCATGCATGTACGCATGTGCTTGTGTGTGTGTGTGTCTCTCTGTGTGTATGACTATGAGCTATCATGCATGCATGTGTTTCTTCTCCGTTTCTTCTGAAGCAGACTAGAGTGGCTAAGAGAAGCGCACTGTAGGCCCCTCCGCGCGGTGCCGCATGTGCATGTATAGCTATTTGCTTTGCTTTGCTTGTGGCTTGGGTTGAAGGCAGTCACCCTGACCCGTCCAGTGCGCTGCCCCCTCCATTGTTACCAACCCTGCACATCTTAAGAGCCTCCCTTCGTTGCTGCGCTGTCTCTGTTGGTGCACTTGCTGCTACGGTTATTACCACTGCCACTGCTGCTGTGACACTGCTGCAGAATCCCCAAAACTGCAACAACTTGATCCCTAAGCCCCAGCCCTGAAGTCCCAAACTTTGCCCTCCGCAGGGTAACTATAGTGTTATCATCATGTATAACTCATAGCCTTACTTACTAAGTCCCATGTTCCTCCAAGAACTCTTCTCCCTTATCTTAAGAATACCCCTCTTCCTCAATGGAGAGCTCCCGGAGGGGCGGATGGATAAGGCCCAGCCTTTTGTGAGGCTTTAGGATGCTTTAGGAACTTAGGGTTTAGGGGTGCTCTGTTCACTTTCAGCAGGGCGTCTTTACCAAACCAGTGCAGCAACCTTGTCAAGTCCTTATGAAACCGCGTAGAGACCCTACTTGATAATATGGAACCCTAGAAGAGACACATATAGAAGTCCGGTGGAAGCTCTCAAAAATCTCAAGGTTCCCCAAAAGAACCCCCAAAGCATCCTAAAGCCTAACATATGGCCTTGTTGGGCTCTCCTCGCAATGAGTTTATGATAGCTGACTTTGTGGACCCGTGTTGGTGTTCGAACAAAGAAGTACATTTGAGAATATTTTGGGACACCCCACACCCCAACCAAACCATCAGGCTACTTTGAACAACCCATTAGCTCTGCCGCAGTTCGACACAAACCTATCTTCGAGCATGAACATTCATGTTGTTCTGCGAAACTCAACAGCACATACCGCTGCACATCCATGTCTGCGCAGTGCGAAGTCAGCCTTTCTACACAGGTCCTGCCAGTCTTCGCCCGGTGAAGATTCAGTGAACATGACACAGTTGGGAACATTCGGAACTTGACACCAGACACCCTGCTGCATATCCATGATTGCGGCGTCTTTATAGACAGGTCCTGCCAGTCTTCGTCCTGTGAAGATGATATATGCAGTGGAAAAGCAAAATCTATAACATTGGCAGCCTCCAGCGTCTTCTTGGCTTCAGCGAAGTTAGCATCTGTCACTCTAACTTAGAATCGATCGCGATTCACTTGCTGAATGTTAACACCCTAGCTGCCCAGCTTCTATAGGACTTTGTCTTGATGTAGCACCTGTAAGTCGTCACTGAAAGAAGGCCGTATGCCGGAACAGTGTAGGGCCACAATCGGCATTCGACGATATGTGGTGGGAAGGGGACTTGTGGTTTAGTATCCAACCCAAAGCACACGATCCGTGTGCCGAGGCCGGGGCTCTTGGTATACTTTGTCCAAGCCTGGGAAGTGAGAGGTAGTTTGTCGGATGTGCACATGACTGACGGAAGTGCTCAAAGTCCTTGGCCTGTGATGACTTCGCAGCAAGTGAACGATGTTGGTTCCGAATTACCAAGGCTGTGTCCTATCGCCAGGGCCCGCAGCTTCACACCTGCGGCGGCCGAGCCGGCTGAAAGCCAAACCTAATGCAAATTGTCCGGCACAGATGTGCAGCATGGTCAACAGGTATAGATATGGTCACAGTAACTCTTGCAAACGGCAGCACGAACATTACAGTTGTCGCGTCTACTGTATCAGTGCTACTTGTTCGCGCAGCGTTTGACTTTCCCAACTGGTTCTCTTGAAAACATCTCGAAGCCTGACAAAGCGGCGTCCAAACGGTGAGGCATGGTCGAAGCCATCCCTGCTACCTTCAGGCCTCAGAAGACAGAGATCCAACACCACATGTGCATGTCTGTAAATACAAAGAATGCGCATGCGCACGTGATAAGTCATACTCCACGTTGACCATCGACGATGTGAATCTCAGAAGGGCTTGTATTTGTATACCACTGTGTATGGACAGCAAGAGATATCTTAATCTGCATTGAAAGCTGTTATCATCCATGTTTTGGGTTCATCTGCCTTGATCCTGCCTCTCCTTGCACTTCGCCGAACATGAACTGCGCAACTTTGGCATACAACTTGTGATGCAACACCTCTGCATCGTGTGCATCATGTCTGAGTGTCTGAGGACCTTACGAGTAAAACGGTGCGCGGTGTGGTTGTCCACCTCACTACAACTTCTCTTGGCCGAACTGCTTTACACTTTTGTCAGGGTTGCTTTACACCAGGTTGCCTGTCAGGCCTTCCCGGGGTTGGGAAACCAGACCAGAGGCACTAACCCGGTGGTCAAAATCACCGTCCCGGCTCGGCTTCCGAGGCAACATGCCTGCATGAAAATGGAAGCCCACGCAAGAGCCCCGGGCATGCAGGGGTGCTACAAACCAAAAGCGACATGCCTCCGGCCGGCTGCTCTTCGAGGTGCACGCGCTAAAGGCAAGCACTAAGAACCCAGGTTGACTCCCTTGACCCCCCGTTACGGACACAGTCACGTGAAAGTCGAGCCTCAAAACAAAAGCAACCGCAACTTGAGCGAGCACAGAGCGAGCGCAACACAGGCTGACACCCCCCCAATCTCGAGCCTGGGATTGACACCTCGTTCTGAAGCATCGGCACAACCATCCACATTTGATTGAACCCACAGCAGCCAAAAAAGCCCTCTGCTCCGAAAGCCGCCTCCCGCTCCCCGAAGAGCTGACAGCCAGCACAGTGAAGCCCCAGTGATCCCGGTAGTATGAAACCAAGATGTGTCTTGAAGGAGATCCTTGGTAGCCTTGGTTCAAAACCTCCCTTTAAAAGCTCCTATACGGGTCTTTCATAATGTTCAACCCCATACAAGAGTGAACGTCTGGCAGCTCGTGTTGTACTGTGCAAATGTATCCATGATCTGGCTGGATCCTCTGTAATACAGAGGCCTAAACAATTGGGAAAGGGCTTCACTGGTAGTATACTACAATACATACCTAAAGCGGAATACTACCCAAACCATTGCTAATCATTCAGACCCCTCATTAGCTTCAAGGGGAATACTGTCCAAACATTGCTGATCATTCAGACTCCTTATTAGCCGAGGCTGTCTCGAGAAGAAGCGCTTTCGAGGGCTGAGCATAGCAGGATCGAAACCGCTGGGGGTCGCAGTCCTGGAAAAACTATCCAACGCGACCACATGTCCACCATGTCATGTGTGTTGCGCCGACAACAGTGCAGTGCCCCTCTGCCTTTTTGGGGCTTGCGCCTCAAGGATCAAGCTGCCGGTCCTGCGCTGGAATGCCGCTATCGGTGCCTGCGATGCCATGCCGGGGCGTGGAGTTCAAGATCACGACTATTACCTGTCCAACCAACTGAGTACCCAAGAAGTAACCAGCTAGCAACTCCAAAAGCGGAACCGAACACCCAAACCGGAAAAATCCCCAAAGCTCTACACCGAACCTAACTCTCAGCCCTGCATTCATCCTATGACGACAGAACATGGACGAAGCCGGGCCTCGCCAGAAGGCCTGCTTGCCGACTTTGGCACCCCAGGGCCGATGGCCTCTGCTTATCTACTGCTGTACAAGTACATGCATGCATGCATGCATGCATGCATCAAGTAAATATGCATATACATAACATATGATATAGTATGTACTGAATATTTGCATATGTAGAAGTATGTACTACATCGTATTTTGAGTGAGTGTATCAAGAGTATACACATAACAGATGTACGCATACATATATATATATATATACACACAAACACACAGACACATACACAAATATGCACACATACGCATTTACACATATGCGCGCATATGCACATACGAACATATGCATACGCATACGCATACACATACGCACAAACATATACACATGTACCACGCATACTCGCTTGCTTGCTTGCCTGCATACCTGGTGACTTGCCTGCATACATACATAGGTATGTAGATACACATATATCACGTGTTTGCCTATTTCTACAGCGGTTAATGAACATTATGAGCAAAGAAGCCGTTTATTGCGGCTGAAACAGTGAGATCGCTGCACACAGTTGCAGATGTAAAGATATGATGAAAAAACCTGCTGTATAACAATATTCATGTATGTATATATGGGGACAGACAGCCAGCCAGCCATGCAGGCAGGCAGACAGACGAACAGGCAAATGCGCCTGCACATAACCCACAACCTACAATTATACAGTTCTACATACATCTAAAAAATATACATATATATATATACAGATACATATTATATACATACACACAGATACATAAACATGTACAGTACACACCTGACAACTTGAACACATACATGATATACATGCATAGCCCTAATGTAACAAAAACATAACAGAACATTACATACATCACTATGTAAGCCGATACGTTCAGATACCAACATAACACTCGGTGCAAACATGTCCGGAGTATTCGGATTCCTGTATGTGTTGCCAGGTGCAGCTATACATTGCTCGATGTCATGATATGCTTCTGGCGCATGCATACACTACACCTTTATGTGCCGACATCACTGGATACCTCCACCCCTCCACTGCGCTGTGAAAGGCCCCCCCGGCCCCCCCACCTCTGTGTGGATCGACAGTGAGGACATGGCGCTAAAACGGACATTTAGGGGGGTTTGAGCTCGGAGGCTTGCCAAGGCTTGTACATGCTGCTGCTCAGATTGAGGGACCTTTGTTCGATCTAGGCTGCCACGCCGTCTGCGAAGCGCACCATGTTCTCCACCTGGCACAGATCCTATACAGTAGGTTGCATTATGTACGTGTTCTACACGCGTAACAATGTTATGCATAATACCACTACCAGTGAGAATATTCATAATGAGAATAATACTGATAATATAGAGGTACTAACTATAACATGATGAGTTCATAATATATATATTACTAAACTACTAGCGGTAGAAGTAACAATAGCGAGGACAAAAATAGTGTAAGCAAAAGCAACTAATAAAAATGAACAAACAACAATAAGCGTAATAGCCGTCATAATAGCACTTGTACCGATAGTAACAGTAATGACAACACCAACAGTAATCATAATCATAGATATTGATAGATGGATGGATAGATAGATGGACAAGCGTCACGTGTAAGCTCATACTTTTTTGTATATACACATGGACAACTAATTATGTAGGTATGATGTGTATAAACATATACATATATATATATATACATATATACATATATACATATATACATCTGTACATCTATACCTTTATACATACATACATACATACATACATATATATATATATATACATACATATACATATATACATATATCATGTGTGTATATATATATCATATATATATATATATATATATATATATCATATGTATATATATATATATATATATATATATATATATATATATATATATATATATATATATATATATATGTATGTATATATGTATGTATGTATGTATTTGCACCTTGCGACTCCACGAGCCATCCAGCTGCTCCCACCTCGTGCAAAACGCATGCGCCCGAGGAAGCTCGAGGTTCTTTGAAGGGACCCATACGGATTGCGGGCTCAGGGCTGAGGGTTTAGGGTTTAGGGGCTCAGGGCTGAGGGTTCAGTTGGGTTTCGGGTTTCGGGGCTCTTCAAAGGGCTCCATGAGAGTGACTAAGGGGTACTGTAGGGGCTTAGGGCCTCGGGCAATGATAGGTCTCTGCGGGGTTCTATGAGGGGCTCCATGAGGGTAACTGCGGAGGCTTAATGTAGGGCAGTGATAATTTGAGCGATACGGGAGGGTATCGTGGCATGTTGTAACATTGCCATACGTATGGTGAGGGCAGAACCCCAACAACTCCATCAATGATGCCTGAAGCCTCTATGCTCACTCACCGGCAGCAACCCAAGCCTCCGACATGGGCGTGCGAATCACACGCCTGGTCGCCTTCGAAAGGGCAGAACCGAACGGCTTGCGCTATTTTCTGGGAAGTATCACTTGACACTGGTGGTGAGATTGCCCTCAAGGGAAAGGGGAATACTTACCGGGAGAACAAGACGAGAAATAATGATCAAGGCCAGCTGGGATGTCAGGTACCTTTGCAAAGTCGTTTCGATTCCATGATCCCGAAAACTCCCTAAATCCCTAAACGGTTACCGGGACTATGCCAGGTACCCGGATGCGGAATCAAGGATGGCAGTCCCACTGATTAGTTAGGACCAAACGCGCTTCATGCAATCGGCCTGATATAGGGGCCTTAATAACTAGGAAAGCGGCTTGGGGGATATCATCATTCAAGTGAGGAACTTTGGGAAATGATTACTTAAGGCCCTATAGAACAACAGTCAGTGCTATTTGTAGGCTGTACTTCTGCGGTACCGTCCTTCCCCCGCTGGAAAGTCAACACAGGCAGAGCCAAGTCGTGCCACCTGGCGCCAGCTTATGGGAGCCGCGCAAAGACCGAAGGGTTTAGGGTGTAGGATTCATCAATGTCAATGACGACTTAGGTTTAAGGGATGTCGGCAGCGACGGGGCAATCTACTCAACGGTCATCCGAGTCCCCGACTTCTCATTCAGGCGGCACACGACTGTTCTGGCACTATACTTCAGGACGCGTGATTTGGTGTGACTCAACTGGACGGTGTGGTCGTCGTCTCACGCAGATGACTCTAACACGAAACCTTTTCAAACAGACGCTGCAAAGAGCGGCATCGCAGATGATCGTCTCCGTCTGTCACAGCACCCGGAGGTGAAACCCAGAGACGTTCAGCGAAGTGACGATCAGAAAAAAACTGGCCGGTCCCACTCTACATCCGAGTGGGACAACACGAAGCTGACCTGTCAAGGAAGATATTTCACAAAGTTACTGGTGCTCTTTTTCGGTGTCCCTGTCCTTTCATACAAGAGTCTATGTTAGTTAAGATTATTATTCTTTCAGATTCTCGAAGAGACCCTCAGCAGCGGAGGCGCACACTTTTTCGCAAACGAAGAGCCAGCTGCTGTTGATGTGACTGACCCGGCTCTGGGGCGGCCATCGTGGCCAGACTGCGCTCGAGTAGTGCTCGCCTGTGAAGCAATCGGCGTGAGGTGTGTAATCATTGGAATCATTGCAGCAGTAAGACGGTGACACTGGGGGCTTGTGCCCCAAAAACTGTGTGCGTGGCAGGGCCCGCTCAAATCTTCTGAGGCACCAAAGCCTCGTAGTGGCCATAGCCGTGAAACAGGATACGGACGGGCTCGCCTGGTAACTCCTTGAAGGCAACAGCAATTCTCAGGATGGAATCACGAGAATCCTGTCTTGCTTGGCTCCTGTGCGTAGACGAGGAAGGGCTTGGCCCCATCCTGCATGTACACCTCAAGGGCTTGACAAAAAGCATGAAGCCACAAGAGTTCCCGAGGTTTGGAATTCGGTCACACGCCATCTTGGGATCTCATGCAACAGCTGGGACTTCGAACGACTTCAACTCAGCGCTCGGCTTCAATGGGGCGCTTGAGCACGTACTGACTAAGAACCAGCAGCTCCGGTTCCCCTCCCCATGAACCAAGTCTCGACATCCTGCACACCGTTTCGAGGGTCTCCGCTCCCGGTCACAAGAAGACGGAGGAGGCCCACCTTGCGATGTACTTGTCGAAGTCGCCTTCAACGATCCACCCCAGCTCCTCCCAAATCGTCGATGTGCATCTATACCCTTTACCCTACACCCTAAACCCTCCGTGGAGCCGAAACCGGAGAAGGAGGGGGAGGAGAGAGGGAGCAGAAGCAGCAGTTGTGGTATGTAGTGGTGGTAGTTGCTGTCTTTGTCCTTGGAGTCGTCGCTGTCGTCGTGGCAGCAGGAACGGGAGGGTGAGTGATAGTCGTCGTAGTAGTAGCGAGTAGTGATCGCATGATCTGGCAGAGAGAGAGTGAGAGAGAGAGAGACGGTAGTTTCCGAAAATAGGGGACCCTACTATAGTACCCTAAATAGTCGGATCCTGATTATATATGGACCCCAAAATAATAAGGTACCCCTAATTTGCGGAAACTCCCAAACCGAACCCTTAACCCTTTATAGAACCCGTATAGATCCCTTTAAGGAACCCTGAGAGGATCCCTTTAAAGGTATCCCTAGTTTTCGGAAACTCCCAGACTCGGAGACGCGTCAACTTCCGGACCTCCCGGCGCTTCACGAACTCAGCCATGGCGAGCCTTCGTAGCTCCTGCTGGGATTTCGTTGTCTGAACTTTTTACGGATTCCTCGGTCTAAGGGTTTTAGGGCTCAGGGGTTTAGGGTTTTAGGGGTTTAGGGCTTTAGGGGTTTATTGGTTTAGGGTTTGTGGGGCTCCAGAAGGGGGTCCAGGGGCCCAAAACTTACTAAACCCTTAGGGTCCTCAACCCCGAGGGTCATGTTCATCAACGTTGCACCAACCGTAACAACGTGCACTTCCACAACAAGCATGCTACACTCCAAGAAGTTTAGCCGGAAACCTTCTAGAGGCTGCGAGAACAATCGGCGCCTGGCTACGAACATCTTCCTTCTCTGAGCTCAGTGGCTTCTTGAGCGCTGCCGCCTCACCTCGAACGGGATGTGTAAAGGCGGGATTGCGGTTGTGGTCACAGTTGCTTCACAAGCGGCATGTTTTGTAAAATTAGGACTAGGATGCCTTATCACATTATTATCATTATATGTCATGTCTCTTCAGGGCTTGCAGATGGCCCGAAGATGCATGTTGAAGCTTCAAAGCCCTGCCTTGGGCGACTGCGCGGAACATGCAGTTGCCGTCAGGTTTGGTCGGGACCACACCTCCAAACACTGCTCCGCAAACGCAACGCCAACACTACACCTTAACCTCAACGTAATTCTTCCATATAGGCTGTTTGCAGATCCGAGTCTCGGAGACCGGGGAAAGGTGATGCCTCAGGCTGGCAGAACTACCCCATCGACCTGTATGGGCCCCTCGACATATCTTTCCACTGGGTTCTTTCACTGAGGCCGTGGCAGCTGCTGCCGCGGCCGTGCTGAAAGCGGCCTGGCGCCAGATTCGGCAACGAACCCATCACTTCACCGCGCCCATGTATCCATCTGCTCGTGTGTCTGCATGCATGCGTAGATACATAGATGCATAATTAATAGCAACTGACATACATGACATACAGACAGACATGCATACAAACTGTTACATCATACATGGGTGGTTGTCAAAATTAGGGTACCTTCTGGGTCATTATTATAATACGGCACCTATTATTTAGGGTACCCAAAAAGGGACCCCAATTTTGACGACTACCCACATGTCACTTATATATTGACATATTTGCGTTTGTCTTCAGAATGCTCACACAAATATGATGATGATGATGATGATGATGATAACGACGAGGAAGATGATGAGGGCGATGAGGACAATGACAATGACGATGACGTTGATGACAATGATGACGAGGACGATTGTGACGTATGACGATCCTGATGGCAACTTCTGCATGCAAGACATGATAAATCATGTTAACAAGAACTGTTTGGTTGCGTTCTCTCCTGTTGCTCTCGGCAGCAGCCTCGAGTAGGCCGCGCCTAGTCGTGGTTTCCAGTCCCCGCTACGTTTCCAACACGTGTATATTTTCCCGGGGTCTGCTGTAGCGGAAACGCATTTGACTGGGCCTCATGCGTTTCTGTACGGAATGATGGCCTTGCAAGTGCTGAGAACTATAGTGGTAAGCATGCAACCTGTACCAGTACACACAACGATATCAGTCATGATACTGATGTTGATGATGCCGATGATCACCATGATCAGTACTAAACACCTGCAGTACTTACTCTTAATGCCTAGATCATGAAGTTGTTACATTCGTTGCACAGGAGATCTGAAAATGAACAGTATCGCCAGTAGATGAATAGCTACAGGATTCTGGCATTAACAAATTCTGATATCACATACAATGGAAACAAAGCCAGGCGTACGAGGCTTCCGGAGACGCAGCCCGCCAAGTAAAGCCAGCCTCCAGGTGACCATTGAGAGTTTAGAGTTTAGGGTTGAGGGGTCCTGGCTTGGCGCTTTCTGCAAGGCTTGCGGGCACCGGACGTTGTCCCGTTGGACTATGGCCACCTTCCTCCTCCCCTACCACTGCTGCTTCTATTGCAACTGCTACGGTTACATGTCCCCCTCCCCCAAAACAAGAGGATCCGCGTGGTTATGTGGTTTGCTGGCCCTACTCAGAGCCCCGGGCATTGGGCTTTAGGCGCCAAGATGTGGCGCGCGTGCACTGCCATGCGGCGGCCCGGGGAAAACCTCGGCTCTGCATTTGAACCACTAGTCCCGAGAGCATTCTGACGAGCACCCATCACATTAGGGACTAATATAAGTAGTACCTTTAAATAGTCGGATCCTTACTATGAGGGCCCCAAAATAGGGTCCCCCTAATTCTTCGGAAACTCCCATTTGCGGCCAGGAAACATGCAGACAGAAAAGGCCAAGGCCTCAAGTCCCGACAAACAGGACATAAAGGAAGCTCCTGGATGTCACGGTAAGAGGATTGCTGTACTACTCCCTCTGAGCCAGACAGGACCGGATCGCCGCTCTTCTGCAGATCTTCGCCCGAACGAATCAATTGCAGCAGCGAGGTGTCATACGGTAGTGTTGCACGTGTTCTCTTGCACCCGTTCTCTGCCATTTTTCCCTCAGCTTCCTGCAGCGCCGCATGAAGCTGGCAACGCTCCCCCTCCCAAGCCATCTTCGACGCCCTGGTGTTCTTCGGTACTCTGACCGCCATGGATACAGAGAAGCACTCCCTGCAAGTGGCTGGTAGAGTGTTGAGGGCGGGGGTAACACCCGAATTGCCAAGGGTTTTTATGTCCAAATCTAGTCTCATCGCCACCAGTTTCAGGCGAGCTACACCTCTCCTAGGAATACCCTGCGCTGCCACTCCGACGGCAGCGAGGCACACCTATGCGCGCTTGGCAAAGCCGCACAAAGACTGGGCTCTCACCGCCCTGCCATCCGGAATCGCGGACCGCTGCAGGTCGGCGAGGAAGGCGACATCCTCGGCGCAATACCTCAACACAAGTGCAAGAAAGCACCAATCTGAAGAACACGAACTACTGCTAGTGGCGCACGGCAAAGCTCGTTGTGGCAGACGCTGAATTTCCCGAGCACTTGCTCCCAGACGCACATCACCCATAACATCACAGCACATCAAAACCAGCCATTCTCCATGTAGACGCTCGATTCCGCAGACAGCAGTGGCATCACCACGCATCTAAACTAGCCATTCCCCATGTAGACGCTCAATTTCGCCAGCACCCGCTCCCAGACGCACATCAGTGGCATCACAGCACATCGAGACCAGGTTACCCATGTAGACGCTCGATGCCAAAAGTACCCGCTCATGCCACACGTCAGGGGCAGCACAGCACATCAGAAACAGTCGTTCCCCATGTGGACGCACGATTCCACAAGCAACCGGTGGAGGCACATATAAGTAATCATTGTGATCGCCCGTAACATCACGGCACATCAAACCAGCCATTCCCCATGTGAGCGCGCGATTCGGCCGGCAACCGCTCGAGACGCACATCAGTGGCATCAGAACACATCAAACTAGCCATTCCCCATGTGGACACTCAATTTCGCGAGCCAGACGCACATCAATGGCATCACAACGCATCAAGGCCAGCCGTTCCCCATGTAGAGGCTCGACTGCCAAAAGCACCCGCTCATGACATACGTCAGAGGCAGCACAGCATATCAAAACCAGCCATTCCCCATGTAGACGCTCGATTTTACATACACTCGAGACACACACACACACACACACAACCAAAGTGATCACCCATAACATCACAGCACATCATAACCAGCCA